ATAAAAATGTTCAAATAAAGATTATGGTTGTTTTTTTTACTAAACTTTTTATATTTAAACTTTTGATATTGCAATATTTTTTTAAAAAGTAAAAAAATTTATAATTAAATAATTAGTTATTAAAACAATTTAAATTGTTTAAAAAAACTTGAATTTCAGTTAAAATATTTGTTGATTTGAGTTCGAAAACAAGTTTGAACTTGTGAGTTTGAACACGACCTCAATTATTTTAAATTCAACTTGAACTAAAATTTTTAAGGTAAATTTGAGTCCAAGTACCTAAATATATTATTTAAGTATTTAAAATATATCATTTAAGTCTTTAAAATCAAACAAAATTAATTTAATTTTGGACATTAAGTTTTAACTTTTTTTAGGGTTTAATGATTGTAATGTAAAGGTTTAATATTTAATATAAATTTAAGGTATTAAAATTTAAATTTTTTAAAATTTAGTGTTTAGATCATTAGATTTCAAACTTTTTTCAAATTTAATCTTTACGATGTTAGGGCTTATATTTTTTAAGATTTAATATTTTAGGGTGTTAGAGTTTACAATTTTGATTATAGTTGCAATTGAAAATCAACTAGGACAAAAAATTTGTTAAAATTATTAATAAATTTTGAATAAATATCTAATAAACTTAAAAGTTTCATATTTCAATTCAAATTATATATTATCCATATTTACTTTTACTTTTAGACTTTAATTTAAATTTTAATTAAATTTAAAATTTTTATCATTTACTAATTAGGACTTCAATTCAACATGTGTAATTAAATTTGTAACAATGCTATTGCGGCCGAAGTACCTCATATCGATGAAGTCTTTGATTCCCTGCTCCTTTCCGTTTATATATGAAAAGGTGCAACGGGATTCAAAACCCTCAAGTTTATAGGATTATAAATTTCAAGCTTTTGAATTTAAAAGACATCATTTAAGTTTTTAAAATTAAATAAAATTATTTTTATTTAAAACATGAAGTTTTAGATTTTTTGGGGTTTAATAATTGTAATGTAAAAGTTTAATATTTAATGTGAATTTAACGTATCTCATGTGATGAAGTCTTTGATTCCCTGTACCTTTCGATGGATACATCAAAAGGCGCAATTGGATCCTATGCCCTCAAGTTTATAAGGTTATAACATTTAAGCCCTTAAATTTAAAAGACATCATTTAAGTCTTTAAAATCAAACTAAATTATTTTAAGTCAGAGCATTAAGTTTTAGATTTTTTTTTAAGGCTTAATTATTGTAATGTAAAGGTTTAATACTTAATGTGAATTTATGGTATTAATATTAATTTTTTAAAAATTTTAGTGTTTAGATTATTAGGTTTTAAATTTTTTTCAAATTTAATGTTTACGATGCTAAGGTTTAGATTTTTTAAAATTCAATATTTTAGGGTGTTAGAGTTTACAATTTTAATTATAATTGCATTTACAGATTAATTAAGACTGAAAAATTAAAAAAACAATGATCATAAAACTGAAAAAATAAAAACTTAGAGTGAAAGAGAGAGAAAAATAAAAAGTTTTAGGGACCGCTGGTCCCTATTAGCCTGGGGACCTTTAGTCCAGGCACCCTTAAATTTGGATTTAAGTTATACTAATTATATTATTATCTTACTATATTATAAAAATTATTAAATTTTTCAATAAATATTAAATAAATATCTAAAAGATATTTTAAAATCCTCAATAAATAATAAAAGAATACCAAATAGTTCTCTTAAACTCTTCAATAAATATAAAATAAATACTTAATTAGTAGATTTTTTAAAATCCAAACCTATTTATATTTTACTATATTATAAAAATTATTAAAATTTTTAATAAATTTAGAATAAAAACCCAATAAACTTTAAAATCTATAATAAATATTAAATAAATACCAAACAGGCCTTTTAAAATCTTAAATAAATATCTAATGAGTCTTTCAAAATTTTTCTAAAATATCAAAGAAATAGCCAATTTGCTTTTTCAAATATTTAATAAATAATTATAAATGCAATTATAATTTTAATTATCAACACCGTAATTTGATTTGACAAATTAATTCATAAAAAATATAAACCCAATAACTTCCTTTTTTATATTTCAACTCCATTAGTTCAGCAATTTTAATTATATAAATATAATAATTCAAAATTTCAAATTCAAATTTAATTTTATCTTTCTATATTATAATCTTACTATCTTATTATTTTATAAAAATTATTAAAATAATCAATAAATCCGGAATAAATACCAATAAACCTTTTAAAATCTTTAATAATTTCTCTTAAAATACCCGTAAAATTCTAAATAAGTACCTAATAGGTCTCTTAAAGAAAACTTATTAGGGAAGTTAAGCCCCTATTAAGTTTAATTATATTCAACTTTCTATTAAATTTCTATAAAAGAAAAAAAAAAAGACTTCTAACTAAGTTATTATATATACTTGGTAACTCTAATTATATAATAATCCAACTTTACGATCCAACTTCAATTATAGTGCAATTATTATATCTTTCACTTCAATATTCCAACTTTAATAGAAATACATTTGATAGTAACATTGAAAAAACAAAAATTAAACAAATTAAAGAAATAAATTTAACTAATGATGAAGAAAAATAATTTAAATTTAAATGAAATTTTCCAAAAGATATAGAAGAAAAAGAAAAATATTTATATTATAAATATTATAACTAATCAAAATAGATAAAAAATACTAATTTTAAAAAATTATTATATAATTTTATTGAGTGGTCTAATAATTTCATTTGATAAAAAAAATTGTAATTAAGAAATGCAACAAATTTCATTAACAACTTAGTGCCATACAAAAGTTAAGTTAAGAAAAAGGCCTTTTATTTAAAATATATACTAATATGTATAATTATTATCTAAAGTTAAATGAAAACAATGAATAACCACTTTTAAACAAAAAAATTTATATTTATATATGGCGAGAGTTGATTTAAATACATATTAAACTCTTACATAAATTATCATCGTTGATTTCTAAATTTAATGTTTTGATATGTATTTGATTAAAGGCAATTATGTTGGTGAAATATAAGAAAATACTGCGTGGAATCAAACATAAAAAGTAAATTTGATATTGAAACTTTTACATAGGTAAATAAAGAGAAAAAAAAGAAGCTTTAACACTTTCTTTATCTCTATTTTGCGAAAGATGTTCTTATTTTTTCTGATTTTGAATTGGCATCACATTGACACACTAAACACTTTGAATAATTGAATGTCTTTTTGCAGAGACTGACATTGCATGTGTTATTGCAGAACCTTTTGCATTAATTAAGCTTGGACACCTAGCTCAAATAATTTTCTTAGTTTGTTCACATTCCATAAGTTTTGATTTTTAGATTTACTCCACTGAGATTTGGAACAGGAACTATATTCCAGACCAAAATAAATTTTTTGATGTTACAAATTAAAACAATTGCTAATAGTTAGTTTTTTTTTTTTTTTTTTTTTAATTACAAAGCTAATTAGCTAAGTTGAAAGATAAAATCCTAGCTCGGCGGCTGCTCTTTGCCCCCGAAGTTAAAAATACAACATCATTTCCTTTATCTGCCCACACTTTCCAAATGGTAAAATAAGATCATCTCATTATTGGGAAGCATTCAGTCTTGTAGAAACTTGCCCCTTAATGGTACTAAAAATTTTGACTGGCAAAAGCACAAAGTACTAAACATAGACCTTAATTAACATAAACTATGAATCTAAAATCTTGAATATCTCCATCCTTGTAATAAAGAATGTTAATCACATCTTCAGAATCGTATCATATTGTTTTGATCCCACATACTCTCCAAATTAAACATGCCTTAGGCTAGAAGGTCACAAACCCATGTGTTTTCCTCTTCTTCTTTTTTTCCTAACTTTTTAATATTTATAAACTACATTAGAACCAAAATATAAAATTGAGTAATGTCAAATTTTATAAAAAAAAAAATAAAAAAAAAACTCTCTCAATACTTATTTATTTATTCATAAAACTTAAATTTAAGAAAAATTGAACACTTTCGACATAAACCAATAAACCACTAATTTGTGTTTTTCTTTATTTGTTTCCTTTATTTGATTTTGGTTTTTTACCATCTTAGCTTTTATTCATTTGATTGATTTTTTTTATTTAAAAATATAATATTATATATATTTAATAATATTTTATAATTTTAAACTTATAATCTTAAATAATATTATAATTACATCATCCTTTACTTAAAATAATTAAGAGTAGTTCACAATATTAAATTTTTACCACCATTATTTTAAAAATTCTTGATGCATTTAAACTTGTAGTAATGTCAATTCAGCAATAAATTACTAGGGCCCAATGCAGTATAAATGCCATCGCAGATCTGGATATGGCCTACGTACAATTCTCTTGATTTTGACTCTTCCTATTTCTAGGTGAAAAAAAAAAATTCTAAGCAAATGTTAAATAACACAAATTTCTTGAGGGAATATAGATGCCATTTCTTGAATCTGAGGCTCCTCTTTATTTGTTTGTTTAAAAATATAGACGCCATTTTCTTCAATCCATAACTTGATGCATTGTTTTTTACTAAGATTTACTTTAATCTCTTCTGTCCTTTTAATTCGAAAAGAGTTGTTGTATTACAATTGGCACAAATGACACCTGATGAGAAATTTGAAGGTTCCTTGGGATTTTCTTCTTTTCTCACTTTTCTGTTGGTAGACATCCTCAAGTAAAAGGGTGCTAAGAGAGAATATTACTACTTGAAACAAAAGATTATTTCTGGTAAGGACGTCTACCTTTCTTTTTTGGGTATTTGAATCTTTTACTGAACTTATTTTACTTATTATATAGATTATTACATCTATATGTATTGCATAAAATTTTATTCTTAAGAGCTATAAAAATGATTTATTAAAATTGTTTGAATTTAAATAACAAAAAAAAAAAATTCAAACTTACAGTCTCAAATATATAAAATTCCCATTCATCCTTGTTACTTGAATGAAATTCTTGTCATGAAATAGCTATTTTTTTGTCTATGCGTTTTTTCCTCTTTGATTGTGGGCGGCCTTTTCCTGCATGGAAGGTATATATCTCTTCCCACAGGAAACTCTTTCTTCCTATGTCTATGAGACAAGTCACAATGAGTTGTCTTATAACTTATTATAAGGCCAAGTGTTTCTCATCTTTCTTCTCAAGCTTAAGCTTTTAGAAAACTCAAAAAGAGAGTAATTCTTGACTGATTGCCAAGTTTTGTCATGAATGATATACTTTTTATCCACCCTAAGAAATAAATTTGGTGATGCATAACATGACAAAGAACATTTGTGCTTATTATCTTCTTCTTCTTTATTTATTTTATTTTATTTTATTTTTTGTAAAAATTTGAAGTTACTATCAACACAAGTCTATTTTCCGAGTCAGATTTTTCAACATAATTAAGATTGAATCATTTGACAATTCAAAGAAAATGGAACGAGCAGAAGTTGCCATGTTTAAGGGTAGGTGAGGTGCCAAAATCAAGTAAAACTTTGCCTCTTTAGATTGCAATCTTGTAATTGCATTTTCATGTCCATATCACAGTTGAACAAAGAAAAAAAAAATTCCAAGGTTAAACATCTCCACGTGGGTGTCCAACTAGGAAAGTCTCCAAAAATATGTTGTTAGCAATCGTGCTTCATGTCACATCCAACGATAGAGTTCAGAATTCAGCATGAAATCCCATCTTCTATTACATATTCGGATAGACTCTATACCAATAGCTTGTTTTCTTCATTAATTCTAAATGTCAATTGTCTATGTAGGTGGACCCGAGGGGGATGTTAGTTCAACTTCAAGGCCTAGAAGGCTACAATTACCGTGGATTGCTTCAAGGGCCCAATTTCAATATTTTAGTTCCCCGATTTAACATGGCCAGTTCCGGTTAGGAGTTTGCAACCGGTTCGGTTAACTTGATATAAGGATGAACCAAGCCATTGGGCTAGAGTGTAAAAATAGAGCTGCATGGTGGCAGTAGGGCTTCCTCAATCATGGTTCCATGACTTTCTTTCTGGCTTTTTCATGGTCCTCTCTTCAATGGTCTTATTTAGCTTATATAGAATAAAGATGAAGAAAAGTTCAATAGTCTAAAGTCTTGTATGTGTCACAAAATTTCAAATTCAAAAGTGATTATGCCTCTAATCCCCTACTATTGTAGGGTTTGGTTTGACACCACTTTGCTCCTAATCCCTTGCCATTTTAAACTAATTAAGGAGATTCTTGGTGTTAGAAGTCATATCAATGACACTAATAGGAGGAAAATGGGCGGCTAATCTTTGGACACTTGAAATGTGTTTGTGAGTTTTGATCCCTTTAGCCCCTCTTGGTTTAGAGCTGATCTTGTTTAATATCATATATAATTGAACTTGCATTGGAGCTCAAGGTTGTCAAGATCGCGATTTACATCGTAAGATCGTGCGATTTAGGTACATTTCGTTTTAAACATCATTTGGTAGGCACTAAAAATAATGTTGGAGCATGTCTGAGTGTGCCAGAAGATGTTAGACAAAAAATACTTGAAGTTTTAGTAAATCAATTGGAGCATTCAAAGAAGAAACGGAGGTTAAATAGTGGAGATGGAGGAAGTGATGATAGTGATGAAGAGGTGGTACCAAGAAAAGAAAAGGTAATGGGAAAAAAGAATACTATTGATTCTTTGTTTAGGAGATCCAAAAGCACTCAACTCAGAATCAATCAAATGTTGAAACATGATCTGGAGGAGGAAGTACATCAATGTGTTACCATATTTTTTTACACAAGTGCAATACTTTTTAATTGTGTGAAGAATCCATATTTTATACAAATGTGTGAGGGAATTGGGAGGTATGGGATTGGGTACAAACCTCCTTCTTATCACCAAATTAGAGAAACATATTTGAAGAAAGAGATGGGCCTAACAAATGAATTGCTTGAGGAGCATAAAAAAGAATGGACAAGAACTGGTTGCACTATTATGTCAGATGGATGGAGTGACAAAAAACGACGATCAATAGTGAATTTTTTGGTGAATAGTCCCATGGGAACAGTTTTTTTTTTATCATCAATTGATACATTTGAAATTTCAAAAACTACTGAAAAAGTTTTGGAGATGTTAGATGATATCGTTGAGAAAGTGGGGGAAGAAAATGTTGTGCAGGTTATTACAGACAATGCTGCTAATTATAAAGCTACAGGAGAGATGTTAATGGAGAAAAGGAAAATAATATTTTGGACACCTTGTGCAACACACTACATTGATTTAATATTGGAGGATTTTGAGAAAAAATTAGAGATCCACAGAGATACAATTTACAAGGGAAAAAGGGTAACAATTTTCATCTATTCAAGAACTCTACTTATTTCCTTGATGAAGCAGTTTACCAAAGGTAGGGATTTAATTAGACCAGCAGCCACTCGTTTTGCTACCTCATATTTTACTTTGGGGTGCCTCAATGAATTTAAGAATGCATTGGTGTCCATGTTTTCCTCCACTAAATGGAAACAAAGTAAGTATTCAAAAATGAGAGATGGAAAGTTTGTGGAGAAAGTGATTTTGGATCCAAATTTTTGGAAGAATATTACTACATGTTTAAAGGCTGCACATCCACTCATTAAGGTGCTTCGTTTGGTGGCCTCTAGTGAGAAGCCAACCATGCCTTTCATTTATGAAGAGGGGGATCACTACAAGGAAAAGATTCAAGAAAATTTTAAGAAAGTCAAAAAAAGGTATGATTAATTGTTTATTTAATATAATTAATTATTTAAATTTTAATATTCAATTGTTTTTAACATGCCCTCTTTTTTTCTTTTTCTTTTTTTAAGTTATGAGCCTATTTGGAAAATTATCAATGATAGATGGGCATCTCAACTCCATAGACCACTGCATGCAGCAGCATATTTTCTGAATCCTCATCTTTGTTTTGATCCAAATCCTGAAAATAATTACAAGGTTGATATGGAGAGTCAAAGGGGTTTATATGATTGCTTGGAAAGGATGGTGTTGAATCAAGATGAAAGGAATAAAATTGATTCTCAAATGGATTTTTTCAAGGCTCGTAAGTGATTATTTGGAAGTACTCAAGCAAGAAATATATGGAATAAGAAATCTTCAGCTGATTGGTGGGAGTCTTATGGAGATGAATATCTTGAATTGCAGCGTTTCACAATTCGAATTCTTAGTTTGACTTGTAGTTCATCTGGTTGTGAACGTAATTGGAGTGCTTTTGAGATGGTAAAATTTTATTATCCTTTAAATTTAATTTAATTAATACTTAGTTTTTTACATTGTTATTTCTTCATTTTTATTAATATTTTATAACAAATGAATTGTTATAGGTTCATACAAAAAGGAGGAATCGTCTACATCAAAAGAAAATGAATGAATTAGTGTTTGTCATGTGCAACTTAAAATTGAAAGACGAACAAGTGAGGAAGAAAGTTGAGTTAGATGATATCTCTTCAGATGACGAATGGCTAGCCGATTCCCAAACAAATGAAGAATTAATAGATCCTGAAAGCGAAGATGACATAGAAGATGATTTTGTAGAAGATGACAAAGAAGATGAATTGGAGAACAACAATTCATTGGAGACCACTTTTGTTAACGATGAAGATGATGAGGAAAATCAAGATATAGAAGCCGAAGAAAATGATGATATGAAAGATGATTTTTGAGTTGTTATTTTGATTTTTTTTACCGTATGCAATTATTGTTAGCCTTTAAATTATATTATGAACTATTAAGTATTAAGTACTTCATATTTGAAATTTTAAATATTTCATTTTAAACTTATTTCATCAATGAAACAAACTTAACAATTTATTTTAAGACGTTTACATAGTTTATAATTTTTTTGTTAAATTTGCTAGGATCTTACGATTCTATTTGCGATCTTATGATTTGCGATCTCATCTATCCCTTCCGATCTCAAGTAAAATCTCGATTTTGACAACCTTGATTATATAACAAAATAAAGCCAAGCTGTTTTTGAAGCCGAAAGGGTTTTTAGAAATGAGATCAAGATGTGGCGGTGGTTGCCTTTGTATACACTTTTGGGGACATTAGATCCATTCTGGTGAGTGATTTTGGTCCTAGCATATGTTTTAAATAAGAACATGTACTATGTAACCATGTGATGTGCTTCAAAATAAATTGTGGTTTAGGCTTTTTCAAAATGATTGATCTGTGCTGTGGCTAGACTATATTTTAACAGTCTTGTTCGTTGTTATCTACCTGCCATTCTTTAACAATGATTAGTGATTAATCACGAATTATCAGTTAAAATAATTGTATTGGATCAGAATTACATCTCATTCAAAATGAGGTTTGAATCAAAATTTTTACTTAATTATTGTGTATGAGTTGTTATTGATGACTTTAAATAAAATTCTTAATTAACTGCAGGGAATTGGTGATAACTGCAATAATTTTAAATGAATGAAGATAAAAAAATGGAAGTAAAGGTATGTTGGACTACAAGGGTCTAAAATGGTCCATATAAGACTAAACTTTAAATTAAAGGACCACAATTTTGAAGTTTGGGTTAACTCTTGGCTGTGTCTGCTTAGCATGACCTTTTTATATTGGAAAAGATAAAATAGACTCATGAAACGTTTCTTTTGTATTGATTGCTGAGATATCTCAACTAACCTATCATCATTTGCATCATGTTGGTTGCTAACATTGCATTTTGGCCTACACGTCTCATCAGCAACAGAAAATCATTAGTGTACACTTTATAACCATTTGCTTCAAACTTTTCTCTTTCTTTCTTCTTTTTTTTTTTAAGAAATAAGGGAAAATCCTTCTTTCCTTTTACCTATTTCATCTATATATCATAAGATTCAAATTCAGAACATCTAACCTCTACTGAAAGAACATTATCACTACAAAACATTTAAACATTGGCTTGTTTAGATTAAAACAATGTTAAGATCTGCACAATCACTTCTTTGATTTTATTTTATTATGTGGAGCAGTAAGCATCGAAATCCCCATAAGATGAGTAGATGAATTGGTAAATTATGAAAGTTAGAAGGGAAAGGCAATGCATGGGAATGTTACTGGGTCCATTAATCTGCTGTAGAAACAAAATACAGTTTCCATTTTGAGGGCCATGATCTGTCAAGATCTTAATTATTGAACCACCATATGCCTTTAAGCTTTTCTGTGTTATTTTTTAGCATTTTTTTTTACAATAATCAATGATGAATGATCATCAAAGTACATAATTGGCTTTTGACATGTGAAACAAGTTCACATGCTAGTTTGATGAGTGCCCCATCTCTCAGTTAAGGTAATCTTGATTCTTGAGATACCATGACTATGGGCTTTGTCCCAGTTCTTGAAGTGGGAAGGCCCAAAATCTGGCCCATTCTAGTATCAGATTTCAAAATTTGAAGCCCAAAGATGTTCACATGGGCTTTCTTAGGGTTGTTCTCAAACTTGGATCCCATTAGAAAGATCTTGTATTAGGGATTTCCTATGACCTGAAATTGTTCTTTAGGTTCTTTTATGGTTGAATTAAAACCTTAATAACATCCTAATTCTCGATAAGAATTCATCATCAATTGTAACTCTTTCGGCTAAATAATCCCGATGCTACTTATTGCTAAGCAAATTTACTTGAAGGAAGTAATAAATACTTTGGCATAAAGACCATGCATGTGTATGAATATGATTAATGTTAAGGGAGAAAGAGTATGGACCAAATTTAATTTATTAACGTAATCATGTTTAGATGCTTTAAACTGCATACAATAATTAGGCATGGTGCATGGCCGGCGGCAAAGTAAGAATGGTGCATGCGTTATTTTTGTTAAAAGTCTATGCTTTTCCACCTGTAGTATTTTCCAACCTACTCTACTTTGCCACTTAATTGTAAGGAGTCAAGCCATGTGGAAATTAAGAAGATACATATGAGAATATATATATTTGGTCATGTGTTATATAGGGTACCAAAAAAAAGATAGTTCTCTTTATTTGTTCAACATGTTTTTTTATTAGGATACCCCTAAATGAAATAATAGTATGTTCCTCCTTTTTATCTACAAACTAAAGCTTGTGTTTTTCAACAGATAAGGTATCTTTAGGTTAACTTATCTTGATTCTCTCTAAATTATCTTAAAAATGCACCATCACATTAGCCTAATTTATTTAAGAAAATTAATTGTTTAAGTAATTGACCTTTGTGTCCTTCTTTGTACTACATCTCCACCTTGCTTTCAATGTTAAAAATTAAAGCTTTAATTTCTGTTTTCCATTGCTTTAGGACATATATATGGGGTAGAGACTTGAGTGTAGATGCATTCAATATCACGGGTTTCATATGAATTAAAAGAATCAATTATTTTAATGACATATCAAGTTATATAAAAAAATAAAAAAAAATGATTATTCTAATAGTATTTTCCATAGTAAAAAAAAAAACCTGATTAGTTTGGACTTTGGAGAACCTGGCAGCCCACCTCAATATTCCAAATGCCACAAATCACGGAGCTAATGAAACTCGTGTTAGCAGCGGTTAGGGCCCGTCAAGGAAGGTTGCTACTTCTTGGCCCACCTTTCAAACCCAGCTCCCCAACCTTCCATATCCGAACCCAATTCATTTCATCCCATCTTCGCAATTCAAATTTCAAATTCCAAACACCAACGGTCCAACGGTTGGATCCCACTCGCCCAATTCATAGCCGTTTCAGACCCCTCTCTTGTCTTTATATTAACCTAACCTCCTCTCCATTTTCCCTTACTTTTTACCTTGCCCAGGCGTCTTTGTATACGTCGTCGGCAGCTTCTTCTCCTCCTCCTGCCTCTACTCTAATCAAAATCAAAATCAAAATCAAAATCTTCTCCTCGAACAACAGTTGTCAAAATGAGAGAGTGCATCTCGATCCACATTGGCCAGGCCGGTATCCAAGTGGGCAATGCCTGCTGGGAGCTCTACTGCCTTGAACATGGCATTCAGGTCAGTCAGTCCTTGGAAGATTCTTGACCGGAACTCTCCCCCGCCGTTTTCTGTTTGGTTCTAATTTCTGGGTTTTTTTTTTCCCCTTTTTTTGTTGTTGGGTGTTTGTGTGATTGCAGCCTGATGGACAAATGCCTAGTGATAAGACTGTGGGAGGCGGAGACGATGCCTTCAATACTTTCTTCAGTGAGACGGGCTCTGGAAAACATGTGCCCCGTGCCGTGTTCTTGGACCTGGAACCCACTGTCATAGATGAGGTCCGAACCGGAACTTACCGCCAGCTTTTTCACCCTGAGCAGCTCATCAGCGGCAAAGAAGACGCCGCCAATAATTTTGCCAGGGGGCACTACACAAGTAAGAATTTCAATTAGGGGGTTTATTAGTTCGTTATTTCCCTTTATGTGTATGGAGGGCTGAGCACTGGGGGTTTTATTTTTTTGGTTATTGATGCAGTTGGGAAAGAGATTGTGGATCTGTGCCTTGACAGAATCAGAAAGCTAGCGGACAATTGCACAGGGCTTCAAGGGTTTTTGGTTTTCCATGCCGTTGGTGGTGGAACAGGCTCTGGTTTGGGTTCTCTCCTTCTCGAGAGGCTCTCTGTCGACTATGGAAAGAAGTCGAAGCTCGGATTCACTGTCTACCCTTCCCCTCAGGTCTCTACCTCTGTTGTGGAGCCTTACAACAGCGTTCTGTCAACTCATTCTCTTCTGGAGCACACTGATGTTGCAGTCCTCCTGGAAAATGAAGCTATCTATGATATTTGCCGTCGATCTCTCGATATCGAGAGACCCACTTACACCAATCTCAACCGGCTCGTTTCTCAGGTATCATAACCAATTCAATCCAAAATTTTGTGGTTTTAGGATTGATTTCGGTTTTTGACTATAAAGAGTGTCGAATTGGGTTTACAGGTGATTTCTTCCTTGACTGCATCTCTCCGTTTTGATGGTGCTCTGAATGTGGATGTGACAGAGTTCCAGACCAACTTGGTCCCATACCCTCGTATCCATTTCATGCTTTCTTCATATGCTCCTGTGATTTCAGCAGAGAAGGCCTACCACGAGCAGCTCTCCGTTGCTGAAATCACAAACAGCGCTTTTGAGCCATCGTCCATGATGGCAAAGTGCGATCCTCGCCATGGCAAATACATGGCTTGCTGCCTGATGTACAGAGGAGACGTGGTGCCCAAAGATGTGAATGCCGCAGTGGCAACTATCAAGACCAAGAGGACAATCCAGTTTGTGGATTGGTGCCCAACTGGGTTCAAGTGTGGAATCAACTATCAGCCTCCTACTGTGGTTCCAGGAGGAGACTTGGCCAGGGTCCAGAGAGCTGTATGCATGATTTCGAATTCAACTAGTGTTGCAGAAGTGTTCTCGAGAATTGATCATAAGTTTGATCTGATGTATGCAAAGAGGGCATTTGTGCACTGGTATGTAGGTGAGGGTATGGAGGAAGGAGAGTTCTCAGAGGCCAGGGAAGACTTGGCTGCTCTTGAGAGGGACTACGAGGAAGTTGGGGCTGAGTCAGCTGAAGGAGAGGATGATGAAGGTGATGAGTACTGAGCATATTTGCCTTAATGGCTGTTAATTCTGCCAATGGGCTCATTGGTCGTCTGAAACTATGAAATCAGTTAGAACTAAGCTAGTATTTTCTGCTTTATCATGTTATGGTGTTGTCCCCCTTCAAGTTTAATGAATTTAGTCAGTTCAAATCCAAAATTTCTGTAGCTTCTCTTGCTAGTTTAGTTATGCTCTTCCAATCTTTGAGTTATCACCTAGAAAACTCATAAGAAAAGCTGAATTTCCATCCCCCAAACCAAACATACTATAAGGATTTGAACTTGCAATCTTGA